TCCGAGCCCTGTCTTCAGCACACTGAAGACAGAGGTGTATAACCCCCTCAGCACACTGAAGACAGAGCTGTATGACCCCTTCAGCACACTGCTTTGCAAACACCAAACCACTAAATTACGGTGTGGAACTCATTTTATAATTAAGATTATTGCAATGAAAATTAGGAGGTTTAAAAAAATTCCTTTAAAGTCTTTTATACTTGTCTGGGAAACAGAGAGAAAGACTCCAGGCATCGTCATGAGGAGAACACCAAAACACTTTGGTAGTAAAGCAGTGGAAGTGATGACACTGTATTGTTTTGTGGTTATGTACCCAAAAAGGACATGGAACAGATGTCCCTGGTAGCACCTGTCTCCTTAATGGGCTCCTTCTACCTTCATCACCTTCTTATGGACCAGAATTTATCTGAGAGTCTTTCAATATTATCCACTGTGAGGTTTGGGTTGTTAAATTAGAGACCATTTCCAAAATGTGAGATGGTCTGTGTGAAATCTGTGAGGGTGATGACAGCTTAATCCCAAAGAAAATGAGGCTGTGTTTGACTACAGCAGAAAGGAGCTGAGCTGCTCCTTGCACAAGAAAAGGACAAGAGAGATTTAAAATGGATTAACAGGTTTTTACCAGGAACATTTCTGAGAGGCACCATTCAGCTATTGTTCACACTAGTGGTGTTTTAGCAAGAAGCCAAGTCTGTCCATTGAAGAGGTGGATCTGCCCAGCCCACTCCTTTCTCACCTGTGGCTCAACCATTTATTTCTGCACTCAAACTCAGCTCCCCAGGGCAGCACAAAGCACCCAGAAAGGGAAACCAGGTCTCAGATTTATTAACAACCATTAATAAGCTCTAATCAACTCAAAGGATGGATTCTGGATTTGCATTTTGGAATGAGATCAGCATCCAGCCAGAGGTATGAAGGGAGCTTTGCCATGCCTTCATGCTTGTGAGGGCATGGTAGAACTCACTTCATACCTCTGGCTGGATGCTGATCTCATTCCAAAGTGCAAATCCAGTATCCACACACATACGTGTGTGTGTGTGTGTCTGTATACTTGGCCTGATCCCTGTTATGTTGTGAAATCACTGATGAGCAACTGGGGTTGTTATTCCAAGAAATAAGTGGTGCAACTGTCCCCAAGGGGTCTCCAGGAAATTTCACCATCAGACTATGGAGAAATTTGAGGTAAGACTAAAACCCCTCTGTATCTACATGCTGCTACATCCTCATTCCTGAAACCTCCCAATGGCTCCTGTGGAGCATGTGTGGCTTTGCAAAACAGCATGTTCCCACATGTACTATCCAAAAAGATGTCCTAGGAGAGGCTCCTGGAGGTTTATTGCTCGGGGGCTTGACCTCTGGTTCACACAGCCACTGCTGCTATGTGTGTCCAAGCAGCAATCAATGATCTATAATAGTGAAAACAGTATCTTCATCACTCACACATACTAATCTAATGAAGAGAGTGAATCCCAAAGGACACCAAAGGAAATAATGATGCACATTGCTTGTGGTACTGATGTGAGACATTTCCCTTCCATATTGTCCATAGCATAGAGTTGTACTGGTAAGGAGGTGGTTTTACACCAAAGCTGATTTTTGCTCTTTGAGTCATAGGTCAGGGAAGTGGAGAGCAGGAAGGTTTCCCCACTGCCTGGTTGCACTGGGATTGAGTGTCAGCTTTGTTAGAGGGATAGGGAACAGTCAGGATGATCAAAAGTTTTCATTTCTGTTACAAGGTGTACATTAAAGAAAATTCACACCCTGGTTATGTCTCTAACTGGTTACATAATGTGTGTGTGTCAGACAGAGGATTCCCAGTATTTCCACTAATGACAGTCTCCTGCCCTGTTCCCAATATCAATAAACAATTTGATTCTGCTTTCAACTAAAAAAACCCTTTCATGAGGCTGTTTTCCCATGAACTGTTAGGCTGTTTGAACTACAAACTAGGTTTGAAAAAGAGTATTTCCTAATTTTGATGAATTTTTCAGTGCAAAACAAGGTACAAGTTCTCACATCAGCCCATTCCCAAAAGCTGCAGGCACTCCAGCTTTGAAATAATGTGTTTTTGAATTGAAGATATTGTAAACATACCTTTTTTTTTTTTTTTGTGTGTGGTTAGATTTTAAGTAGAGAAAATGCTCAGACCAAGTAAAATTTTGGGATATAAAGGAGAATTTAACAGGAAATCTGTGCTGTTCCAGACATTTAACAGGTCTCTGTGTTGGAGGGACTGTTCATCCTGGAAGGTCACAGTTTACTATTCTAGTTGAAAGGTCAACTGCAGATGGAAATGTGACGTAAACAACACCAGCAAATAATGGACACATGAAATAAACTCCAAACAATTGCTGCAATTGTTTCACAGATGATTCAGAAAGCAAGAAACCAAAATTGCCATGAACAACTAGCTCCATGAATGAGGTTTCTGTTTGGGAACAATATAACAGCTTTAGCCAGATAACTTTGCACTTCATGACCTCCCTGTCCATTTTTTCTGGTCACCTATTGCTTAGAACACATTTCTTTCATGAACAAAAAAATATTGCATGTTTGATCCAACAAAACTATTGTCCCTGGTTTATGTATGCATAAACCATCCCAGTGGGAAACAGGATTCCCTCATTCCCAAAATAACCTGGCTAAGGATATCTCTAGGTTTGGTTACAAGGTATTTTTAAAAGTTCTCCCAGGATTCACAGTTTGGCTCTGAGCAGAGCTTGGATTTATTACTTATACAGATTGTGACAACAGTCAAAATTTCTTCCTTTAAAGATACTTTACAGTGCAGGAGGCAAATTGCTGTTTCCCATGGAGATTTATTAAATCATTTTAATGACAATATCTGCTTAGAGATATCCAGAAACAAAGTAAGAGGAGAAGTTCAGAGTTCAGCTGAGGAGCCCTGGAAGTCAGCAAAGATGAGGAAAGATCTGAATGCAATCACTGCCCCCAACCCATAATTTAATGGTAGCTGTGGGATGCAATTTGCCTCTGAAACATCCCAGATCTGTTCTATTATTTAGTCTGAAACTGGCCCCTGAGCTTGTGTCAAAGCACAATTCTCTGCTAATTCATATTCTGCATGGCCACCCCTGAGATCAGGTGTGAGGTTTATTCCAGCCTCCCATCACCAGTTCTGTCCCTGGCAGGTATTCTCTAACACTGGCCACAAACCACCTTTTCTCTGAAACAATACAGAGTCAGGAGGAATTTAAACATTACAGCAGCTGTGAGGAATTCTTCATTTCTGGAAAGCTTTAAAAGAAGTCTGGAATTCTTTTCCAAAATGCTTGATGCAGTTGATATGGAATAAAATCCAGACTGGCCCAGTTCTTCCCAATAAACATGCTGGGTGTCTCAACAATGAATTGAAGCCCACTGCCAGGTAGCTCCCTCCCTCTGCCCTTTGGGAACAGTCCACAGGCTGTGGGGGCTGCACAACACCAGCTGCAAACCACTAAACTTGACCAGAGTCCCTCTGGCTGTAAAGTGCATGGATTTGCTGAAAGCTGGAAGCCCAGCTCCTCCATCCCACTGGGACTGACAGTTTTTTCTTCTCACTGCAGTCTCTTTCTCCCTTCTCCATTCCTACTTGATCCCTCCTTGCCAATCAACACCCTTTGTCAGACACTTGAATGAAAGTCTCCTGGCCAGACCTCAAGCAGCTCCTCATCCTCACACCTGCTCATCATTCTGCATCCAGTATTTTAGTGGGTATATTCCTCCTGCTGTAGACTCAGATTTTTTGGACTCAGACAACACAACCCTCAGCCAGCTCCCTGCCCCTCACAGCCTCCTCCCCTCAAAGCTTGTCCATGTCCTTCCAGGGGTCCTACAGGGAAGTCTGTGGCTCATCTCCCATATGTCTGCATGTTGCTGTAAGCACCTCCATCTGTTATCCCCCTATCCAAGTGACTCACAAATCAGCTGTTCCACCCCCAGCCTCTGATTTTTCAACTGTAGGGAACACCCAGCATTTGCTAGGAAAGAAAACATCTCTCTGAGAAACCAGAGAGGCTGCCAAAACAGACCCTTGGTGGATAATAGGATGGAAACCAGACTCTTTCCTCCTTACAAGGCTTTGAGTAGAAGGAAAAAGAAAAGCATTTTGTGTTTTCCCTAGATAAGATGTTTCTGTCAATGTGAGCAATTCTAGCTGAGCTTGCCAGATCAGTAGCACCTGGATTCAAGGCTGCCAGGTAAAACAGTCCTTTGATGAACTGCAGGTTGAAAGAAGAGGTAATATCCTCAGGGGAGCAGACTCTGTGCCTCTACAGGACTTCTTATCTGAAGATCAACATGTAAATTCCTGTTCTACTCCTGACCTATCTCTCTGGGTCATTTGCTTCATAGTTCCTATTGAATTTGAGCTTCACATTGAAATATGGCAGAAGAACATATGAATAAATACATTTTCTAGTGAGAGATTTTGCAGGAAATGAAGCTCTGAACATCACTATTTTCCAATTAAAGTGCAAAGCAGTTGATACCTTGTCCCAAAAGAGGCTCTAGTGAAAAAACCTACAAAATATTGAGGTGCATTTCAAATATTAGCACAATATTTTCTGCAAAATATCAAGGAGACAAAACAGTATTTACATTCACTCATCAGGGGCAAGAGACATGTGTCACATTTCTGAGTCAGCAATAACACAAACCAAATGCAGCTATCCCCAAACATCATTCTAGATGTCATGGGCAGCAAAGCATCCTTTTTAAATTGAAAGGTTTTTTTATATGGCCACAGAAAACAAGTGGAGGGATCCACATGTGGCACCAAGGTGCTGTTTATGCACATGCAATGGCTAGAAGATACAATCACATCTGAGCCTGAGGAAACAGTGGCTGGGACTTCCCTGAAGTGATTCAAGGGGCAGTGCCCAACTGACCCAATTTCAAATTCAATTTTTTTTTCCTGAACCGCAGGTTCTGAAAATCAGGCTATCAAATTATTCCCTCCCCCCCCCTTTTTTTTATCATTTCAGTTTCCTCCGTGGCCATTTCCAACAGTCTTTTGGCCCAGGCAAAAGAAGATCCAGTACCATCATTGTCTCCACTCACTGTAACTTGTTGCTCCAGTTCCAATCCCAGCACTATTGCTCCAAGTACCACTGCAGATCTGGAAGTTCAGTGAGCTTCCAAATGAACCCCATGAAGTCTGCCAAAAGCTGGCAGGGACAGGCAGTGCTGCTGCCAGGGTGTGGGCAGCAGAGGGGAGCTCTGCTCCCCCTGAACATGCCAGGCAAGGCACAGACATGGATTTCTCAGAGGCTCCCCATGCCCTTTAGGGTGATGGACAGGTTACTCTGGCACTGTGGATCTGGAGCTCTCTGTGCTCCAGTGATTTACAAAACCCCAGGCAATGCCACCATCCCTCTAGCACACATTAGCACTAGGAGCTGGAAACATTCACCCAAAGTTACCTTTCCCTGTGGAAAGAACCCTCCCTGCTCTAAGTGTTTTAAGCATTAAATCACATTCTCTTCTTCCCACTAAATCTATCGCCAGACATGCAGGTTATGCGTTCCCCTTCTCCCCAGTCACACTTCTCTTGCTGTCCTGGAAACTTTCTGGGAAGAGTCGTGATGGTACTATGCCAGTGCCCTTTCGCTACTCCGATGCTATTCCCAAGCTTCCCGCTGCAGCAGCTAGGTGGCAAGTTTCATCCAGCCTGGGAAACTTAATAAACCGATTTAAAAAGAGAGACAGCCTGCGGATCCAAACACTCCTGATTCCAAAATGATACACACATGTAAGAAAAACTCCCCTTTCAAGGTGAGTATCCCCCGCTCGCCCCAGAATCACCTCCCCCTTACTCACATCGTATTTCTCCGTCATTTTCAGATGCAGAGCACGTTTCCAGAGGGTCCTGGCACAGCCCGGATCCGAGAGCAAAACCAACACACACAGGGCTGCAGCGAAGATCTTCTTAGAGAAATGCATCTCTGGCAGAGCCCTCGAATCCATTTTCCTAAGGAGAGATCAAATAAGGAGGCAGGTCTCGGTATCCAGGCGATTCAGTCTTGGCAAGGAGGGAAGGGGATGGGGAGGGAGGGACAGAGAGGGCTGAGCGCTGTCGAGAGCCGCTTTTCCCTGAGCTGCTTCTGGGAAGGGAAAAGGGAAGAAAATCCGAGCCCAGTGGCAGCAGCAGGAGCTGCTGTTGAACTTCTTTACTCTTAAGTTAGATCAGGTTCTCGGCTCACATATTCGCACTAAGCACATGCTCTCCTTGAATGATAGATGGGAAGATTACTTGGAAAGATTATTTTGAGACCTTTGTTCCCAACATCTGGCATCCTCAGAGAGCCCCATTCAAAGCCAAGGAGTGGGATCAGATGACAGCTGCCGCAGGGGGGAATAAAGGTCTTGAAGGGGTGGGCTCAGCAGCTTTTAGCTAACAGCTCACCCAAACTTTCCAAGGGACTGGGCTTTCCCTTTGTGTGCTTCCCACTGTGCCCTGAGCTCAGGTTTTGCATCATGTTTTGACAAAGTGATAACTTCACATGAAGATCTCTTGAAGGAAATGATTTAGTTACATGATAAACACGGAAGGGCTTTAATTAGACCGAGTTGACGTTAATTTTCTTTAAACGATTTAGAAGAAGGGGATGTGGCCATTCCGAAAAAATAAATCCATATCCATGGGTGGGGAATGGAGCAGGAAGGTGGTTCAGAAATGGCATGGCCAAACAGAAAGCAAGGAAGGGGACGTGAGTCAGGCTGTGCCTGACAATGGGAGACGGAAGGAGTGGACGTGGCATATTAGACATCTACATGGACATTCAGGCACCCACGTGTCTGTAGGACAAGAATGGATTTATGAAGTCAGGCTGAAGTCATCCCAGCATCCTGACTGGGACAGAGGCAGAGGCAGGTGCTGAAGAAAAAGTGGGAGAACAAGGCAACTGTTACATCCTCATGAGTGTATATATATGTGTATGCATGCATATACCTTTCTAGCCTTCAGTAGTGTTCTTCTGGACTTGCTGAGCCAAATGTGGGGACTGTTTAGCTTATAATTCTCTCCTCCAGCAGCTTGTCCAGCCTCCACCCAGATGAAGGAAGAAATGGAGCCACAAAGCTAGTCAAGATACAGGCACTAAGCCCTGCTTACCTTCAGTTTATCCTGACTGCAGCCCCACTGAGCAGAGTGGAGTCTTGCTCATTGAATTTACTTTATATCTACTCTAAAATGGGTCTGCAGAGGAGTGTTACACCCTGTGGACAAGCATAAAAAAATCTTCCAGTTCTTCCTTGTACCTGAAAGCTGTGGCAAATCACTTTGATCCATGCCCAAGTGTCAGTAGCTGCACGTAGGTGGTAGCCAAAGGATTTCATCTCCAAGCTTGCCAGAATGTGGTGATGGGAATCTGAGGAGAGAGTGAGGGGTAGTTTTAAAAGCTTGTATTTATAAGAGATATATTTGATTTATTAAGTTTACAGGGTTTCTAGTAGTAACAGTGCTTTGAGACAATTCTGTCCATATAAGCTTCTTAGCAACAAAACCTGTTCAGTTCATGCCAGGGAATTTAGTTGGGAAGAAAAGCCAAGCAGGGACTGCTGTTATGGGAGGAAAGTAGAGGAGTGGGGAAAGACAGTGAAGAGTTAAGCTGGGGAGTGTAAGGAGGTCCCAGGCCTCTGTGTGGTCTTGTTGAGTCCCAAAGGAGTCCTGATGGCAATTGTCTGAGAGGGGATCCCTGTGGAGATGCCATGACCCTATATGTCTCTGTGCTTGTATAATCTTCATCATTGCTTGATCCATAGGTTGCTCCTGCACTAACATGACAGCCATTCCCTAAGGTACAAGCAGGGTTTGGGGAGCTGACAGGATTTGACCCTGTCTGTGCCTGTACAGTTGTTTCAGGCACAGAAGGGGACATGGAGAGCATTTTGTGCCATAGAGGCTTCATCCCCCTCCACCAGGGCTGCTGAGAAGGCTGTCCCAACAGAAAGCATGGCTCCAGGTCCCTGTCACCAGCTCTGCACTATCCTGCCAGTTCTTCTCCCCCCTGGAGCTGTAGTCATCCATTTAAAAGAGATTTTATCCCAGTTTTCCTTTAAGCAGGTCACTTCCCTCAGGCTGTCTTCTCTGCCGAATTTAATAACAACTGTGGACAAGTCATGACTGAAGTGTGACTTTGGGATGAAGGCAGAGCTCAGCACCTACAGCTCACTGTCAGCTCCACCCAAATCTCATCCAAACACCATCTGAAACCAGCAGCTTCAGTACATCCAGAGAGGAATATATCACTACCATAAGACTTCAACCTGTGACTTGATTTTTTATTGCTCAGAGAACTTTGTCTGACACAGCAGGAAGACTACAATTCCTTTTAAAAACAAATCTCCCCTGTTTGTTGCAATATTAATTCCTGCACCTTGATAAAGCACCTCTCAGGCACAAGCAGGAGTTCCCACCCATGCCCTGACTCCTGTGCTGTAAGGTGACAAATGGCATGGCTGGTTGCACAGAATAAACAAGATTTTTTCTCAGAGTATTCCTACTTAATTTATGCCTCTGTGTTGATATTTCACTTGTCTGTGCTCTTGCTGAAACCCAAACCAGCATGAAACAACTGTTCAAGATAAATCTCCCTAATTTAATTTCATTTTTTGTTGTTTCATGTACTTGCAATCCAGACTCAGAGCAACTAATTCTAAAGATTAATAGCTGCTTCAGACACCATTTACTGGCCTTTCTTTTGGCAGATATACAGCTTTGACATTTATCTGGGAAAACTAGGGTCTGTGCCTTACAGTTCATGGATTATACACCAAAGAAGTTGGAGTCCTGCAGGACCAAACCTCAGCAGCTGGTCATGATCTTCACATAAAAATGAAAGTGGATGTTATAGCACTTACAACACCATAACTCATCCTGGACACAACTACTTCATCTTATCTTCCCCAAGCACTGCATGCAATGCCTGGACTGGATTATCCCTACTGTCAGCTAGAGAAGCTGAGGCATAGGGACTGGATTATCCCTACTGTCAGCTAGGGAAGCTGAGGCACAGGGTGAGTGATTTGCTGAAATTAGACCTTCTTTCATCTGCACAACCAAACAGCAAGAGTTACACAGCTCAGACTAGGCCAGGGCTCTGTGTTTCCATGCTCTCTACATGCATTCAGTAGGAAATTCTTCACATGCTTCTTCACCTCCAGTCTGTCTTGGAAAAGAGGCAAGGGATTTTATATTTTGTATAGGATTAAGAAAATCTTCTGGAGCAACATGGGAAAGAATATATATACCTTTTTCTAGATATTCTCTGGCAGGGCTGTGTTGTCACAGAATAACTGCAGGACATCTTTAGTCCATTCATATCCACATTTGGAGCCCAATGGACACCTAAAACAAGAGACTTCAGTCCAGTCAGTTATGGAAGTGCCTTTCTCCCACTACAGAGCAGTTCTTGTCTTACCAAGTTCACTTTTGAATGGCTCATTAGGAAAACAAAAAGAAGTAGTTTTGACTTTCTGCATAATTTCTTGTTTAACAAAGCAGTTCTTGGTAGGTTTATGCCTCCAACTATTAGGGTAAAGCATCTTTAAGATCTCATGAAGAAATTTTAAGCATCAGGCCCAAATCCTTATGAGCACAGCCACTGGCAATAGTTAAAAACTTGGAATGTACTGCTAAGCAGGTTTCTGACTTGTGTCACTTTTAATGCCAGGTATTTGATGATGTATGATGATTTAAAAGCAATCATCACAAGAAAGAGAGAAAATTACCTGCCATTTTCTCTTAAACTACATTTTATCTACACACAAGTTGGCCCACAGTTTACTGCAAGTGGAGCAATTCCATGTGGTGATGGTTCCATCCATATGGAGTGGGTGCATGGCTAGACACTGGCACAGGTTGCCCAGGGAGGCTGTGGCTGCCCCAACCCTGGCAGTGTTCAAAGCCAGGTTGGCTAAAGCCTTGAGCAACCTGATGTGGTGGGAGGTGTCCCTGCCCAGGGCAGGGGATTGGGGCTGGATGATCTCTAATGTCCATTCCAACCCCTAAAATTCTATGATTCCTTGTCACTGTCTCTGCACCATCCTGCCAGTTTCTCTCCCTCCTGGAGCTGTAGTCACCCATTTAAAACAGATTTTATCCCAGTTTTCCTTTAAGCAGGTCACTTCCCTCAGTGATTCTATGATTCTATCCTATGCAAAGGGAATAAGTGGTGGTGGTATAAGACATCCTTGTATTATTGTAATGTCTTGGCTAGATTTGGCTCCTGCTTGTGTGAAATCTTGGGCATTCAGCAGGCAGGCACTGAGACTGACAGCTGGAGAAAATCAACAAGTATGCTAATGTGTATAAATATATCCATGCTGAGCAATTAGCCCAGGGAAGGCAGTGAAGTGCAAAGCCACACACCTAACCAGCACATCTAGCCAGGTGCAAAACCTGTGTGAACCAAGCAGTAAACAAATTTTCTACCAATGAAAGTTTGCAGTATGCTCAGTTGTGTAATTCATAATAAAATTATTTTTTCCTATGTGCTTGTCCAGGGAATCCACAGAACATCATTAAAGTCAAGATTTCTCTGCTTCAAGATTTGTGGTGCAGCTCCTCACACAGAATTCCCAATGCCTTCAAGGATTTTGAATGAGATTGCTTCATACATCATCACTAAGCAAAGAGTCACCCTCTGTGCATGAATCTCTGTGAATTTCCACTCCACAAATGGTTACAATAAGGCAAATTCTGCAGTGACATAAATTGCTGTCAGATGACAGTGCAAGACATGGGCAAGACGTGAACATCCCCCCAGGACCTGTGAGACCTTCAACATCATTTGTTACAGGGAGGAAGACTTATCTGAGTGAAAGGACAGGCATTTTATCAGGCTAGGAGGATAAAATCATTTTTGGAAGCAGGATTGATGCTGCCTGATTAGAATGACTTAAATAATGGGTTTTTAAAATGTTCTCAGGGAGGTTCTGAGTGAAAGTCATGGGGTGTTTGTGCAGCTAAGGAAAAATGTCTTTCTCTAGCCAAAAA